TGGGGTTAAGCTAATCCATTGCAATTCAACTGGAGTGAGATTCTTGAGAGTTGCCCCTCAGCCGTCACTGTAAGGATTCTTTCTTCGATTTGGTCTTCATAGAAGTATGAACTGGGGATGACAATAGACTTAGATTTATCATCCCTAATCGGCCCACTAGGAAATGTTGGGCCACAACTCACCTGAGCACTTAATTCCTCACGTACTCCCTTCTTACTAACTACTAAGTCCCCCAACCCAGCCAAGTTTAGTGGTCATTAATCCTAACCCAGTTGGTTCAGACTTAGTGGTCATTACTAATTAATCCAGCTTAGTGGGCCCCAACCTGGGTCTAACGTGGCCCCAAACCTCATCGTCCCAACAAATGATTTCTTACTCACTCTCCTTTCTCTATTTTCAAAAAGATTTGAAGTATTTTCCTTTTCAATTGAAACCCTTATTCGGCCATTTGGAAGCAACCTTTTAGTTCCATCTACACTGTCTTTGTTCCAAAGATTAAACAGAAGTCCAATTAATTTTAGAGTGAAACTTTCTTGGTGAAGATCTAATTGATTGCAGGACATGTGCCAGTTTTCGATCACAACCTGCCCATCCATGGTCTCCACTGTATCTACAGTCGATATAACTAGCCCCTCTTCTCCAACATCTAATATAGCCTTACAACCACTGAAAGGACTAACTGAAGGAAACGTAAATCCAAATTTCTTCAAGATACACTCCAGGATCTTCCCCCAATCTGTAACATCTCTTACTGCCGTAAGAACCAACTGTTACCTCCAAACTCCTTTCTCTTCACTTACCATCAATTTCTGATTCTTGTTTGAACCAACCAAAAATAGCTTAGGGCCCAAGGTTCTCCACAATTTCTTCCTTCAACTCCTCCCCAACCGACTGAGTCATTCGCCACTCGACCACTCTAACCACAAACCCCTGCTTCCTTCTATTGGTCTTCATCCAAGCTTGGTAGAAAATCATATATTTCATTCGTCATCGCCGTCAATTGCTTCCTGTTCTCACCAAAATATTCTGCTATTGCGACAAACCACCCTTTCTTGTTACTTCGCACTTCTCATATCTCTTCCCCATTACACCTAAAGAACTCTTCCACCCCTGTTTTTTAATAGAGTATACTGCACCATCAATGAAGCCTTTCAACCAGCAAATAGCTTCTCCCACTAAGAATATTGTAGCTCTTTTGTCTTCCCTGATCTTCAGTGCCACTACTCCATTTCTTCATTCCTCGAGCAGTTTTTTTTTTTTTTTTGCTTCAATCTTCAGTTCCCTTTTCCATCTCGACATTGCTTGAAAACCTCCAGCTCCCCTTCTGACATTTTCTCAATCCTTAGATCACCACAGATTGATAATTTAATGCCTTAGGCTCAGTTTGGAAAGAGTACAAATGCAAATATGTACAGCGTAAATACATACAAAATAATACAAAATATAAGGTTTTACACTCTACATATTTACATTTGTACTCCTTCCAAACTCAGCCTTACTTTTGTAAAAGGAAAAAGTGGGGTTCCTATCCCTTCCTTTTTTTCATATTTTCAAACAAAGATTGTAAACTAAATGCTCTAAATCATTTTTTTTATAAGTAAATGCTCTATATCATTCTTTTGTTGTTGTTTTTTTTTTATCAACAACTCAATTATCAAAATAAAGGAATTAGATACAACAAGAAGTTGTGAGCAACAAGCAAGCCCAATACAAGGCAGCCACCCAACCATTATTACAATTGTGCCCAATACATATTTTGTCTTTGAACCCCTTGCTTAGCTAAACTATTTATCAAACTGTTGGCAGATCTTCTAACCCAACGTACTCGCAGGTCCATATCTTTTGACAGCCATGGGGCTGTTCACAAAAGGTTATAAACCAATCAAACGGACCAAACTGGACTGACTTGACCCAAAATGGTCAGGTTTAAAAATAGTCGATCAGATTCAGTTTAAAAAATATTAGAACCCAACGAGTTGGTTCGGTTACGGGTTACGTCCATGTAAACCAAACAAAAACCGACCTGGCATATATATGTAATGGCAAGTTGGCAACCAGATCTTTTGTTATTTTGACTAATGTCAGCCTGTAGCCCAAAGTTCTTGCCTCATCTAACAATTGTCCACAAAAAGCTAATAACTTAAAAAAGTAACCTGCAACTGACAAAAAAACAGTGTGGTTCAGAATTATTTTCTTATCCTTCAAAATAAAATATTAAAATAAAAGGAATTTTCCATTCTCTCGTGATGTCCCAATGATAGATCAACAAGCACCCTCTTTTTTCAAGAAACCTGATGCAATTACAATTAAAGTCAAAATTCTGCCAAAATGCTTTCACCAATCACTTCCTTCCATCACATGTCCTTTAGGCTTTAACCCATTACACACATACAGTAAAGTAGAGTACCTGCTCAGTCCGCTCAAAGAACTACAATTATGCATTATCAACCATCATTTCTTTTTTTTTTTTTTTGATCAATAACTCTGAAAAGATTTCATTAATTAGAAAACTTTAGGATACAACAAGAAGTTGTGAAAGAAGCCAGCTTTAGTAAGCTGACCCAGAACAGAATTACAAATGCGCCCAAAACATGTGTGTTCTTTGAACCCCTTGCTTTGCTATGCTATCTACCAAACTGTTGGCAGATCTCCTAACCCATCCCACCTGGATTGACATGTTCTTTGACATCCATTTAAGTCTTCAGAATTCATTCTTCAACTGCCATGTCACCCCTTCCCCTTTCTGCAACAATTTTATCACAGTTTTTGAGTTTCCCTCGATGATCAGTCTATTAATACCCAACTCTTTAGCCTTCTCCACCCCATATGCTGCAGCTAGAAACTCTTCCCTTGCTACATCACCCTGTTCCACAGGACTGGAGTACAGAGCAATAATGTTTCCATTTTCATCTCTAATGGCCCCCAATGCCTGAAGGGCCTAGATTACCCACACAACTCCCATCAAAGTTCAGCTTCTTCCAGCCATCTGTTGGAGGAGACCATGCCTCAAAAAACTGTTGTCTCGTAGATGAGGAGACAGCAATAAGTCCCCAAACCCTAAAAAAGTCTTCAACCTTAAAAGTTAAAAACAACTTCAAGCTTTTTACCCAATGTGTCACCTTCAATGTTATTGTTTCGATTAATGCTTCCTTACATTTTTCTTTTCCTTCAAATATTCTAACATTTCTTTCCTCCCAAACAGTCCAAAGTAGTGCTGCTCTAGTACACCTCCATAGAATCCTACCCCTCCTTTTCATGCCACTAATACCATTAAGGCTGAATAAACCTTCCAACCTGTCAAGAGAAGACCACTCGCACCCAAAAAGGGAAGTAAACCAATTCCAAATAAAACTGACAAAAGGGCAAGATACTAGAAGATGGAAAGCAGTCTCACCACTCAACTTACACAGGACACACCAGTTGGGGGACAAGCACCAATTTGGTCTTTTCCTTTGAAGTACATCAAAGGTATTAAACAACCATGAAATACTTCCCAACAAAAAGCATTGATTTTAGGGGGAATAGGAGGGCACCAAATTTCTTTGACTGGGAAAGGAAGAGAAGAGGGAGTGGCAACCAACGATTGTAGAAGGGATTTACAAGAAAACAACCCATCAGAATTAGGAGCCCAACCATGAAATACTTCTCAACCGTCATTTCTCTTGGGTTATCTTTGTTTTTCGGTTAATTGATCAAAACTGACTGAAACTCAAACAATTTTTCCATCTGTTTTAAGTCCTTATTGGTCGGTTTCAGTTGGCTCAAGGGTCAACCCGGCAGTAACKATTTGGTTATTACAAAATACAAATAAATAAAACCAAACCAAACCAACCCGCGTACAGCCCTAGACAGCCACTTAAAGAGCCTGAATTCATTCCTAAGCTGCCAAGTCACCCCTTGCCTTTTTCCAAACATTTCTTTTATTGTATATTTGCATTCTATATAAACTCATTTATGTGATTGCGTCAACATCTAATATTTAGAACATGTATTTTTTATGTTCAACCAATCAGTGYCTAGGCACCAACCAGTCATCATATTGCTAAGGAGGCCAAAACAACTAGTCATCACTTCACTGCATTAATAACACTGGGAATAATTAAGTTGAAGACCATTTCCTGGGACAGTGAACTAATGGATGAATCAAGTGACTAACAGATATGATAGATGCTTTTAAACGGACAAACTAGTCCATAGGTCCATTAAAACAATACACATCTAAGCTTTGAAATTGATAGAGAAAGTTCTATGCTGACAGCAAAGAAAGTTCTTGGACAAGATTAGCAAAAATAGAAAAGTTATTACAACACCAAGATGAATATGCAATTACTTTGCTGCCAATCTGCAAAAATGACTAATATAAACTACAGAAAAAATTATGAGGCATCATATAAAACTGAGTAGAGAGGCCATTATTTGGTATAATTGTAAAATCTTGAGCTGGCAAGCATGTGAGGGCAGCCACTTTGTGCAAAAAAAGAAAAATGCCAACTGCTAGGACCATACCCAGTGTACCCCTCACAAGACCCTAGATAGCTGGGACCAACACTGGGTAATGGCCTTTTTAAATCGAACTAGAGTAGCAGTGCTAATAAGATGACAAAATCAGATTCTATATTGATATTTTTTGTATATAATAAATCTTTAGAGGGTATGCAATGGTCAATATTAAGCATCAGGAAACTATTTCAGACCAAAAAAATGTTATAACAGTGTTTAAAATTAGTGTTCAAATTTTCCAAAGTAACTTTGAATGATGCAAACAAAAAACAATACCAGAACAATTGAAAAATGAACTTCTACAACATACCAGGGATTTTACCATTTCATTAGGATAGTAATGGAATATGGTTTTCTGTCACAAATAATTCAAATCAAGCTACCGTGTGCAAATAAGATATGATAATGTGTTACAAACAGCATGCTCCCCTCCTATCAAAGACAAGAATTTCAAAAACAAAAAAAAAAAAAGCAAAGCTAGAAAGAAACATGGACTTCACCTTGAACGAACCAAATGTCACACCCTTCTTCCTATTTGTTAGTTGTGCCATCATGACTTTATCATATGCCCTCTCTAACTGGATATAATGTATACAAATCTCTTAGACCCAAAAAAAATCAAAACTATTCATCTTATATAAAAGAGAGATGTCCGGATATCCTTAATAACCTACTTTATCCACAGTTACTTGATCACCTCTTCTCTCAGCTTCTTTGCGTTTCCTTGCATATGCTGCCTTAATCATATCAAATCCTTCTATGGGGTTTACACCAAGAACCTTATAAATGAATATAAAAGAAGCAATCAATAGGCAGGAAAAAAAAAATACAGATTTCGTCACTCAACTATAAGAATCCTTTACAGGATTTGTCAACATGACAATTTGAAGTTACCTCATAAGGGTTTATTTCGCTATCTGGACTGGAACTTCCTGCAGCTGATGAAGCAGCAGACATCACCACGTAACTTCGTGAAAGCTTTCTAGGAAACCTGTTGAACCCAAGATTCTGCTCAAAGGTAATCCTTCCATATTGCAAATTTGCAACTAATAGCGAACACGGAATCAATCACACAATCAAAAGGCCTTTTATAAATTCATGCATCCGTAAGATCATTGATCATGAAGAGACAAAGCACCCACAGAAACATAGGAATCATCCAACAAACACCTCAAACTCCAAAGGCAAAAAACTTAAAAATAATAAAAAAAAACAGAATTTAATTTAGCTCCATGAATTTAGCCGCAAACAATAGTTTTTTCTTGATTTCTATTTTCAAGCTTCGTATCAGGTATTGTAGAATTTAGCTTCTCCCTGTATTTCATAGAATGATTCCACTAAAAACAAATCAAAATATATAAAGGGTGAGTTTCAACTCCAAAAATTCTATCCAGAACTGATGATCACCTGCAATTCGAGACACATAAAGCAGAAGCACGCGTAAATCGCACGGACTAATTGTAATCTTAGACAATCTTTCGTTTGATTTACCTGACAAACGAAGCAGGAACATTTGAAACTGAAACTTCAGGGATGCAACTCCTTCGGGAGAACCTTGATGTAGAAAACTGCAAGACATTTGAAACTCCCATAGCCATTTCTCGGAACTCAATGAAGAGTAGAACGAAGCAGTTGGAAGCTCGGGTTTAGGGTTTTACGAGTGGAGACGGTCGAAAGAAGCCATTGAAGAGTACTCTCTGGAATTCGAAACCTGGCCACCTGAGCTCCTCAGCACGGGAAATCTCTATCCGAAAATGACAAAGCGTCGATTGGGTCACCCGACTACCCGAGGGGCCAATAAAAAACCCGACAAATATAGCTGGTCCGCTAGACCCATAATTTAAAGAGAAATTTTTCGATAGGTACCCTGTATTTTAGTCCGAACATTAAAATGCAACAATCTATGATCCAAATATTTATTTTACGATATTTAGTATCAGGCGTTAATTCACCGTTAWATGTCATGGGAAAGACACAAATGCCGTGTTATCTAATTTTCTTTATCAACCTTTTATTAATAAAGTACAACGATCCCAACTTCCCACTAACCAAACTAAACACAAAGCATAAGAATTCAAATATATGAAAGCATAAGAACAAGACAAAGTAGAAGCCTTGTCACTCTATGATCTATCGATTATGGAAATCAAGAGAGAAGCATTAAGTAAGGAAATTAAAGCTCTTGAAGCTGAAGAGGACTTCGAGTTTGGTTCATGGGGTGCCTCTCTCTTTGACAGAATCTAAAATGTGTGCAGCCAATGATGTGTTCTTTTAGGGCCAGATCCTACCTTTACAACTCTCGGTTAGCTTTGAAACAACGTGTTCTTTAATGCATCAAACTGATCAATAACAATGTGAAATGTGTTGGATGATTATAAGGCAAGGATATTAGCTAGAAACTTCACATCAAATGTTGGATTAAGTAGTACTTCACCTAATATATCTTTGGCCATGTCTCTAAAACAAAGTTGTCGTTGTCCAAGTTGTTCATGGTGTTCAAGCACCAGGGAGAGCAGATTGTAAGAATAGAATGTGGCTATAGCACCTATAGTCAGGCAAAAGACTCCAGCAACCCAACCCAGCAAAGCAAACACAAATAGTAAACTCAGAAGCGTCGGAGCTACAATCGAAGTTGTTAGATGATATCCATAGTGCACCCATGATCCTACAATTTTAAACAAAAACATGCAACACCCCCTTCAATCTTCCATGAACTCTCTCTCTCTCTCTCTATCTATCTATCTATCTATCCCTCTCTCTTGGAACAGTTATGATTCAAGAGGATGAAAGTAAAAAAAAAAGCTAAAAATCAATATAGAGATGAAAAGGTGAAGATAAGTCCACCTCTGGATTTGAGAACAAAGAGAGCTCCAGTGTCAAGATCCTTATGTTGATGAAGTTGGGCCATGAAGAAGAATGGTTCAATTCGGCTTCCATCAAATTTGGAAGTGGAAGAACAATACTAATCTTTCTCTCCATAGATTGAAACTTGTAAAGGTGTATGAGACACAAGCACATAGAACAGAAAGAAAAGGAGTTTCACTTATAAGAGTAATCATGGTCAATGGTCCAGAGCTTCCAAATTCATCAAATACCTACTTATAATCACACAGTTATTGAGTAGTTGTAAGTGTCCAGTTAGCGCAATTGAAATAGTTTCTTAGAGGGTACTTGTTTCTAAGGCCAAAAGTAATAGAAGAAACTCAAACGTGAGTGAAAGTGATCATCATGAAACATCTCTCACGAAACAACAACAGCAATGGCAGGATGAGGGAAAGCAAGCCATGTCTCACCGTCGCACATTTGAGTTGTTAAAGGAGCTCTCGATTACAGATGTGCCACGGGAAGCTCAATAACAAGTATCTCTCATGTTTATTCCAACGAGCGCCYTTTTTTCTCTCTCCTCTTCCACAGTTCCTATTCCGCCTCCATTGTAGTTTTCTTTTTCTCTCTTGATCAAGAGCGTCAAGCGTGGGCTATGGTGGTAGCTATGGTGGTAGCTATGGTGGTGAACTAAGAACACCACTCCTCCCGCTAGCCATGGTGGCGGCCAACAGCGAGCCCTAGCTCTTGTGTTTTCATCAGATTGTTGAGAACTTGGCTTGGGCTCTGTTTCATTTTCTTGAGAAAGAAGATGATAAACAATGTGTTTTATTTTCAAGGTAATTTTGGCATTTTCAAAAGTTTTAAATCACATATTAGGTCATGTGATATACATAACTGACGGTCCATTAACGGTAGGTACTAGATTATCGCATTTCAAAAGTTCGGGTACTAGATTGTCACGTTTTAAAGTTCAGATACTAAATTGCCACTTAGCCAAAAGTACAGGGTACCTATTGGGATTTTTTCCCTAATTTAAAGGGTAAAATATAAAAACCTCCCAAGGTTGTCTGACAATCTTATAGATCTCTCGTGTTTTGAGTCTTTTGACACTAATAGAAATCTCCCTTGTGATTTTGATAAAAGGGGTGCTCACAAAAAATAAAAAAAATGGAAAAACCAAAAAGAATTGAGAACTGGATCCAAAAATCTAGCTAACCAAATTGATCAATTCGGTATTTTTGTAAAATTAATTAAAAGACCAGTTCGGTTTTTGTTCACCTAAGTAAAACGGTGATTAATCGAATTAACTGGTTTATATATTTACATATATATTATATATGGTTTAGTATATAATATATAGTTATGTATTTATAATATATTATATATTTATTTATAAAATATATATTATAATTATAAATATAAAAAATGAGAAACCGAATAACTAAATCACAAATTAGTACCTTATACTTTGGGTCTAGTCTCACATTGGCCCCTAAACTTTAAAACATGCCAATCAGTACCTGAACTTCCAAAGTGTGCGAATTTAGTACCTACCATTAACCAACCGTCAGTTATGTTTATCACGTGATGACATGTGCGATTTAAAACTTTTGAAAATATCAAAACTACCCTTCAAAATTAGACATTGTTCATCGTCTTCTTTCCCTAAACTAACGAATTTCATCACTTTATTTTAATTGTGCAGCTTGTGCAATTTGTTTTACCTTCAATCATGCAACTTGCTCTTCCTCTAATTATTTTTCAAGCCTCTAAGTTGTCTCCCTAAGCTTCAACCCAACCATCTCTGTTATTCGTTTGAGTTGATCCTCATATGACCTGTAAATCTGCTTCTTGTTTTTTACGTAATTTCATATCTCCTTGCTTCAACTCAACCAAAAATCCAACAAAGTATGGTTGTCCACCATTCTCTACCACAACCATGTCCACAAGGCCTGCGCCATCAGTTCATATTTTCTCTTCAATCTACACTTGGAGACATTAGATTTACTTGAAACCCTAGATTTAGTGTTGCCCAAAGGAGTTCTTGTGATCCTCTTCAGCTAGGTTGAAATCGGTTTGGTTTAAGAAGGGTTTTATCCTTCTCTTGGTTCACCATACTATGATAGTTTCCTTTTCTGGACATCTGACCAGAAGGTAGCTCTCTATTATCATCTCTTCTTCAGTTTCTAATATCAGTCTTGGAAATTTGTATTTTTTTGTTTGATTATGGCTTCAGAAAGAGTAGATGTCCTCCCTGTTAAGTTCAATGGACTAAACTATGCCTTGTGAAAGTTTAACTTCCAATTTCATGTTGAGGAAAAAGGGCCTTTGGGGCTACTTAGATGGGACTATAAATAAACCTGATGACTCAGATGTTAAGGCCTTAAATCAGTGGAAAATTGGCAATTCAAATATTGCATCTTGTATCCTCGGATCTATTGAGGTTGACATTGCCATTCCTATGCGAGGTTATATAACAACTTATGAGATGTATGAATATCTTGAGAATGTATATTAGCAATCAAACACCTCTAGGGAGTACCAACTAGAGATCGATATCTTCTCATATTATCAGGGAGAGAGAAAGGTCCAAGAGTACTATGCAGGGTTTATTAACCTCTGGATAGAATATGAGTTAGTACACATGGGAAAGGATCCATCGGACTGATGTGTGAGGTATATGAAGGAACACTTTGATAGAAGGAAGGTTATGCATTTCTTAATGCATCTTAGACCTGAGTTTGAAATTATCAGGTCTAATATCATGAGTCGAGGAACACTTTTTGATCTAGATACCATTCTTGGGGAAATTCTGAGAGCTGAAACCAGACTTGCTACACAGACCACTCTTGATGAGAGGAAAGACTTCAATATTGATGTTGTTTTCTTGGCAATCAAATCAAAAGGAAAGAAGGATTTCTCCCGAATTTAGTACTATGGATGCAAGGAGTTTGGGCATATTGTCTCACATTGTAAGAAGAAGAAACATGCACCCATTGCAAACAACAAGGACGTATCACTATAGAATGTCCAACTCGACCACCAAAGGGAAATGGATCTAATTAAAAGAAAAGGTCTTACAAAGCCTATCAAACAACCGTGGAGAATTCAAATGCCTCATCTACCATTACATCAGTAACTTCACAGAATAACTCTTCTGGTAGTATTTCTGAAGATCAGCTTCGGCATCTCATGTCCTCAGCTATCTCTTCCATTTTCTCAACTATTGGCCTATCYGCTAAGTTGTCTACCTTATGTCCCTCATCAAATCACCTTTGTATTATAGACTCTGGAGCTTCAAATCACATGGTGAGGGCATCCGTTGGTTAGTCTCCTAAACCCCATCTTTCCAATAGACACATTATCACTACAAATGGTGAAAAGCTATATATACTTAGTTGTGATGATCTACACTTGTCTACTTCTAAATCATCTTACTTTCACCTACCCAAGACCTTATTCGTGCCCAAATTAACAACTAATTTGATTTCTATTGGCCAACTTATGGAAGATGGTAATACAGTTTTATTTTCCTCTAATGGTTGTTTGATATAGGACCAACAAACTAGGGAGGTAAAGGGAAAGGGGCGTAGACTGGGTTGATTGTTTGCTTTAGAGTTTGAGAAGAAGAAAGTTGATTCAGTTTCTCCTTCGTGTTTACTTTCTACTGCATCTAGTTTTGAACCTTTTAATTGTAATAATGACTGGAACTTGTGKCATAGATGCCTTGGTCATCCTTTTTACTAAGAAACTTGAATACTTGATTATTTGTTTGCTTCTTCTAGTTTATCTAATGTCACTGTTTATTTTAAGAATGCTAATAAATCTTGCATTACTTGTTGTTTGAGCAAAWTTCATATTTTACCCTTTCCTTCTATTTCTGAGCATGCAACGATACATTTTTATTTGATACATAGTGATGTTTGGTCGTCTCTAGTTAATTCTAAATTGGGATTCAAA